AGTAAAAAAGTAAAGAAGTGTCGCAATATTTCTAGTATTTTTCGTCTAATTCAAAATGAGTGTTCACTGACTAACATTGCACTGCTTCATAGTGTAGTGGAAGAAATGAATATCACTGAAGCAGATGATCACATTAAAGCATATAAAGCAAAGCTAAAAGAGTTTTGCAATTCACTTTCCATTAGTCTTTGTTTGAAGGAAAGATTCGCTTCCATTCCTCCTCTTCAATGTCAGACAGTTACTTTTGTCCTTGATTGGGAGCCTGAGGAACATTTCCTCAAAGATATTGAGGACCTTCTTGCTAAACTAGCATCCGGTAAACTACTGAAGATTGAGTGTATAAAAAGAACCAATTCAATATGTGTCACTTGCTCCTTTCCTTTCTCTGATGTTGGGTTTACTGTATTGAGGATGATAGAGAATATTCATATACTAATGGGACAAGGATTAAAGAAACTGACTATTGGTAACTTGACATTATGGAGGAGACAAGATGTTAGACAAAAGGTACATAATATGAATAATTGAATATTGTTTTATGAATATTGTATTGTATAGGAACTAAAAGAAAAGGATCAAGACTTACTACAACACACTGAGGTCAGTTAATATAATCATTCCTTTTATTAGTTACATTATAGTACCTGTACAATGTAACAATGTGTTCAGTTGATTGTAATGTGTTAATTATATGTACAGGTTATTTCTTATATTATACTTGAAGAAGCTGAATATAAACTAAGAGATACTATCAGTAGCAAAGAGAAGGTATGTCATACTACCAGACTGTGTAATCTTAATTGTATTTATAGGAAATAATTGAATTGAAACAAGAAATATCATTAATGGCTGAAATAACTGAGGTTTCACGTTAATTTTAAATTCTTCAAGTTGCATTGATCATATATATTTTGTTATTATTAGGAGGAATCATTGTTTGTTCAAAGTGATACTGAATCAGTTAAAGAAGTTGAGGTATATCTCACTAATTTATATTAATTATAATAATTATTAATAGGAAGAACCACTTTATGAAGAACTGACTGTATTGAGGTCTCAGTTTAATGAGATACAAAAAGAAAACAAAGAATTGTCAGACAAATTATCAAAAATGAAGATTGAGTATTTGAGATCACTTACTAGTAATACTGATTCAGGTTGGAGTAGTTTTATTAATTATACTAATTATTATATAATTAATAATTAATTAAAGCTGCTAGCAAAGTGAGAAGAGGAATGGCTTTTCAAATTGATGACTGCAAATTTCATCTTAAAGCAATGACAAGACCAGACTATCAGCCATTAGTAGATAATAAAAGAATAATAGAGAAATTACAAGAAAGAATAACATTAATGAATATGGAACTAATTACTGAAAGAGAACACAATGAGAAGATTATAAAAGATATTAAAGGTTTTATTGATGATGTGTCATTAATTGATTGTTGATATTTGAATAGATCATTTGAAAGAAACTGAGGAGAAGAGACAGAGAGAAAAGAAACAAAAAATTGGAAAAGAAATGTTTGGAGTAAGATTGAGATGGACAAAAGTACACTATCTACTTACTTTTATTTCATAGATTATATTATTTTGTAAGCATCTTGTTACTGGTGAATTAATTAATTCATTCCTTGAAGTACATAAAGATGAGTTACTACCCAGTGTACTGGATAAAGCTTATGAGGTTTATTGATTTATTTCTATTTATTCTTTCATTTTTATTCATTTCTTATCAGTTAATGGAATTAGCTCCTCATATTTCTATTGAGAGATGTCGTTTAGTTAAATATGATTATTCGTCCGAAGTAATGCATCAGTCCTTTGATCTTGATGAAGTATGTTTTACTATGATTTACCCTATTGTTATAATGATCGTATTATTAAATTTAGTTTCAACATCAAACTATTGGACAGATTATGAGTGTGGCTGGATATTATGGATTATTTTTAGAAACTTGTAAAGAAAATGAAACTTTTAAGAAATACAATGATGGAGGTGAGTGTGTTTATTACCATGACAATACTTCTAAATTGCATGTACATGTGTTTGATGGTGTAGGTATTAATCTAGAGGTATCAGTGGTTGATCTGTCAACTGTTGAAGTAGTACCAGCTGTACCAGTGAGAGGAGAAGAAGGTTGGACTGTTGAAGAATTAAAACAACATATAGGAGAAGTAAGAGGAAGGATATACTGTCATTTATATTGTTCTTCCTCCATTGATCTGATCCATTTCTTTATTTAGGTATTTAATATCAATTCATCATGTATGAGACTAGTATGGGATGAGTATAATTACATAAACAATGTTACTTCAGTCCGTGATGTTAGTAATGTAGGAGGTAATTTAAAGGAGGTACTTTATGGAGGAAAGAGAGCTAGTCCATTTAATTTTAAACAAGTATAGTTTTTATTTATGACACTAATACCGTAATAAAACATTGAGGAGGCCTTTTTATGATGACTCAAATAGCATGGACACTGGGGCATGCATGATCAGACTCATTTGTATTCCTCTTTCCCCTCACACACACACACACACACACACACACACACACACACACACACACACACACACACACACACACACACACTCAGTTGCTGTATGTATCATCAGATTCTAAAGATTATCAAGAAGAATACAAAGATAGTTTGATGTACAGAATTAGTCATAGTCACCCTGGGATACTACTTAACATTACAATACCTCCTCCTGGACCTATAGCCACACCCACTACAACTAACTTTACTGAAAGATCAGGAATAATAATGAAAATTATATCATTAAATGAAGAAAATAAAGAAAAAGAAAGAAGTAATAATAAATAATAAAAAATCATTATTTACATTATTATTACTCAATACAGAGATACAGGTACAAGTTAGTACCAGTATAACATTAGATCAGTTGAAGGAAGTACTAGTACCACTGATTGGTGTACCACCTACTGGTTTTAGAGTGTGTGCAATCAGAAATAATAAAGAATATGAAATGGAGGGACTGTATAAGACATTAATGGATATTAAATCTGAATCAGAGGTATGATAGCTTATTGTTTTATTTTGGCTCACTTCTCCTTTCCATTATACACTACTATAAGTACTAATAACACACACACACTCATCTCTTTATTACTTTGTATATCTACTAGTTGATAGTAAGACTGGGTAGAGCAATATTACAAGAAGGAGAGAAAAGAATTAAATTATATTTATTACAAGTTAACGATACAGAGGTACATGTACACGTATGAGAAAATTTATTATTATTATTATTATTATTATTATTATTATTATTATTATTATATTTTATTTTTTAGTTTTGTAGTTTTGTGATGGAGTCTATTTATGCTATGGATACGCCAGTGAGAGAATTGAAGAAACAAATTATTGAAGAAGCAAAAGTACTAGGAATTGACTGTGTCCTTGAATTAGACAAGTAAGTACATCATGTGACTATCACGTGACTTATTGTGTAGAATGAGATTACGTAACAAGATGGGAGTGTACCCTAGTACAGTATATCTTGATCATCAGTTGATTGATACTGACAAGTATATTATGGACATGCACATGCACATGCACATGCACATGCACATGTATGTGGATCTACTGGATGAGGATACTTATAGTAGGGAAATGCACTTTTATGTGGAACCATTGAAAGGTCAGTATATCTCAGTATGTTTTGTGTATTATACTGTACTTTATAATTATAGTAAGTTTATTTTTATTATTAGGACCAGAGATGAAGAACCATGAAGCACAGAGACAGGTGTATGTTATAAGATGGCGTCCATCACAATGTTCAGTTGATCCAATAGAAGAAATTATACTGGATAAGAGATATGATCATAAGCATGTTATTGGAAAGGTATTATTTGAAATTATAATAAGAAAACATGTATCAGTACGTATCACATTATTATTATTATTATTGTTTTTCAGCTGTCAGAATTAAGTGGAGTTCCTGCTGAATGTATCTATTATACAGCAGAGGTAAGTCATTAAAATATATCAAAGATTCTCCAGGCTCTCTCTCATTCTATTAGGGAATATTATTTCCAGTTGAGATATCATGTCTTGATATTGAGAATAAGTTGGACTGGTATTCCATCAGTTCAGATGGTTCCTCATTAGGACTATATGTTGATGGAGGTGTCATATATTACAAGTACTACTGAACACACACTCACATTATGTATACACACACACTTACATACACCTCTTACTGTTTATAATTATTTAGAGACAAGAGAGAGACAATGAAAGAGTTAACAGATAAAGAGAGATCAGAAATACATGAGGCAGAGGAAGCAAGGTCAGTAAACCTCATGTACCATCATGTACATGTACTATCAGTTAATGTAATACCTCAACACTTACACCATTTATTGTATTGTAGGTTGAAGAGAATTGAGAAATACATATCAAAGCATAGACATAGACGTAGATATTGATAATAGGATTAACTGAATGGATCAGTTTAATTTTTTAAGTGTCATATTAATTTTATACTTGTATAATTTTGTATTGCAACTGTGCCAAAATTACTTGCTACATTATGTAATAATTTCTACTCAATGAATGCAGTCATAACAGTGTCTCTATCACATTGTATGCTTCTTTTATGCTTTTTCAGTGCCTAGTGCTGTATATTGGCTGTCTCATTGCCACCATTTGTGCCATTGGCCTTTACTGTGACAGAACATCAGTGCTGTCAGATAATTTAGGTAGAAGTTTGATAATACAGTTTTTAAAAATAATATTATTAAAACAGTAATTATTACTGCTAATCACAAAGAAAGAGAAACAGAAATCCACTATAACATAAATCAACCATACACCATTCAGTCACAGTTTGCTGTCCTTTTTATAAGAATACAATTGAAGCAATAGATACATTGCACAGTCAGAGTTGGTCCAGTAGCCAGTGTGAGCTGTAATGGAGTTTAAGTAACTGTTCTCAGTTAGTCCTTCACGTAACATGAAATCAAGTCTCTCATTTAACCGATCTAGAAATAATAAATAAATAATTATTGTAATAAAAGAGATTTATTTCCCTGTGTAGTTATACATGTATACTTACCTCCAGGTGGTATTTTGGTGTCATCATCAAAAATCTGTAGGAAAAAATTCACTATAATAATGCATTACAGTATTAAAGATATTATAGTATGTAGCTATTCTTTGGAAAAATAAAATTATCTAGAAATCACTCAAGGATTATAATGTGTACTGATGTTTTGTTAATAGTTTACTTTATCAGGAGGTAATGATTTAGAAGTTTCAGCGCCATTACTAGAAGCAACACTTTTAACAACAGCTGATATTAGTGATTGTGTCCAGCTGCTGCTACTGCTGCTCTTAGTACTCTGTGTCGTTTCTGGTGTCTTGGGTCCTTCAGCTAGACTCATTGACTTCTGTGTTGGTTTGCTACTAGCAGTGTCCATCTTTACCGGCTTCACTTGAGCATACACTGGACTGATGAGTGGCTCCAAACGATACGCCTGGATTAAAATTGAAGAGTATAAAGATATCAAATTTTAATTGTAACATCAAATACTGGCACAAGTACATGTATAAGATAAATACAGTAATAATACCATGCACCATCTCATAATAGCAGGCTCTACATTTACTCTATAGTTGATGCTAAACTCACCACTGGATCTGAAGGATGGTGTACATTATGAATTCTTTTACAAATAGCAGAAGGGAGCAGTGAATCAGCTCCTTTGCTTCCCTTCACTAGTGGGCTGTGTTCCCTCAGCATTAAGAAGATACCTAATGGAGACCCAACAGCAAACAAGTGATCAACTTTAAACTTTAAAGAATTGAAGTCTTTCTTTATCCCTAGCTCTGACTCAAGTTCAGCTACTCTTATTCTTAACTTCTGCAGCTCTTCAAACTTTTCATCTGACTCATTTTTAAATGGATGATCTGGAGGGAAAAGAACAACTGGTAATTTTTAAAACTCTTCAGACTTGATATATACACGTAACTCTTTCCTTTCCTTCAATCTCTCTTTTTCCTCTCTTTCCTTTCCACTCAAATTATATGCCCCTTTTCTTCACTTTTTCTCCCTCCCTCTCTCTCTCCCCCACCTGTTAAATCAACCTCCATTGGAGTACAATCCCTTTCCTTTCTCTCCAGTAGTCCATTGATATGGCAGGTCTCATACATCAGGTCATAACACATTACGCTGCCAAGGGAATGAGCAAACATTGATACTGTCCCATTGTTTGAAATAAAGTCAGGATTACGTCTTATAAATTCGTCATATTTCTTGTGCAGCTGCCAACGCAGACCATCAAGAATCTACAACAGGTATACATCATTGTTAGTATATCAATAGTAATGGTAGTGTGTGTGTACAGGTGGTTCATACAGTATTCATATAATAGTTTATTAAATGGTGGCAGCTGCTAACCTCAGGTCCGAATCGAGGGCTAACATAAAACATAATGTCGAGTACAGAGTCATTCAAGATAGAACGTAATGCCTTCACACCATGAGGAGTTATACTGGCCACTGCACCTGAAGAGAAAATTACCATTATATGGACTTATAGTACAGGGTATTTCGTCAAAAATGAGGAGAGATTTCCCCATTTTTATAATTTTATCTGATACATATACATGTTCTTATGTTGTGTTTCAAATTTGAGCTGATTCCAATTAAGTTTGTATTTTTTATGAATTTTTGAAGTTGCTCCAAAATCGGGTCAAAGTCACTGTTACTTATTAGTAACGCGGTAGCGTTATTAGTAACGCGGTAGCGTTACTAAGTAGGATTCACCCCCAAACAAAATGGCTGCCACGACTTTTGCAGCCTTGCTATACCGGGAAACAGTGGCGGATCTGGGTGCAAGTTAATGGTAGGGCCAGGAAGTGGGTGTGTCCACTTTTCAACCAGTTATTTTATGGTTATGCATCTTTTGGCCATTTTTATGATGGGTTTCAACAATTTCCTCATCTATGCAGTGCCAGAATGCTCTTCAAGCACTTGTAGGTACTCTGGTGTGGCTTGTGGTTGGCTTTATCAAAACTTGAGGCAGGGAATTGCTTACATTGCATCTAATGAATCTCATTACTGACTTCTGATGCCCGGGCCATGGCCCGTCTAGGCCCGGGCCCAGATCCGCCACTGCCGGGAAAACGAGCTCCTATGCTTACCAGACTTCTTAGAGGACCTTATCTTGACCAGAGGACTCCATTGGTACCCATAGCATGGCTCTAGGCTCTGTCTAAGAGAAAAGCCAAAAATCGGCGAACCGGCCGTTTTGTTCAGCCACCTTTTTTCATCTTCATCATCATCAAGTC